ACGTCCCAATGTACTTTGCCCCTCACGCAAGTGAGGCGGTGTCCTTTGACATTCTGGACACCAAATTCGACATGATCTTGGGCATGTCATGGCTGGAAGCGAGGACTACTCGGTGAACTTCTACCGCCGCACCGTTCACATTTGTGATCGGAACGAAGTACTAATCCCATGCATGGTAGCTCCTCCTCACCCTTCAGTCTGCTGTCACGTGGTATCCACCGCAAGCATGCGAGCCTCCATCATCAGCGACGACATCGAGGAGATGGGGGTGTGTTTTCTCCACGCCCTCCCGCCCCAAGACGCGTCATCAACGGACTCATTTTCGGATCCACGCATCACCAAACTTCTCGATGACTACAGCGACGTGTTCGAAAGCCCGCACGGAGTAGTACCGGATCGACCCATCCGCCACGAGATCATTCTCGAGGACGGGGCCGTACCTCCACCCGGTTGCATCTACCGAATGAGCGAGGAAGATTTAAGTGTGCTTCAGGGACAACTCGACGACCTTCTGGAGAAAGGCTGGATTCGGCCTAGCTCATCGCCGTACGGTGCTTTTGTTCTCTTCGTTTGGAAGAAGAACAAGGATTTGCGGTTGTGCATCGATTATCGCAAGCTCAACGCGCAGACGATCAGAAACGCCGGCCCTCTCCCACGCATCGACGATCTTCCCGAGCGACTTGGCGGCGCCAAGTTCTTCTCCAAGCTCGATCTCAAGTCGGGATATCACCAACTCGAGATCCGGCAGGAGGATCGCTACAAGACGGTGTTTAAGACGCGATATGGGCATTTCGAATGACTGGTTATGCCATTTGGCCTTACGAATGCCCCGGCCAGTTTCCAAGCGGCTATGACAACGGAGTTCCGACACATGCTGGATCGATACGTACTTATCAACCTCGACGACATCCTGGTGTACAGCCGGAGTTTCGAGGAGCATGTGGAACACCTGTGCACCGTTTTGGAGCGGCTACGACAAGCCAAGTACAAAGCTTACCGCGACAATTGCAAATTTGCGCGACAGGAGCTGGAGTACTTGGGACATTACGTGACGCCGCAAGGCATCCGTCCACTTGCAGACAAGATCGAGGCCCTACGAGTATGGCCCGGGCCCACCAACACCACGGACGTTCGTTCATTCATGGGATTGGCGGGTTATTGTCAGCGATTCATCACCGGATATTCCAGCATTGTTGCACCTATGACGAGGTTACAGTCGCCAAAGGTGCCATTCGTATTCGATGATGACGCACGCCGGTCATTCCAAGCACTTAAGACGACCATGCTCATGGCACCCGTCCTTAGCATCTATGACCCCACACTGCCGACGAGAGTGACTACGGACGCTTCCGGCTATGGCATTGGGGCAGTCTTGGAACAACACGACGACGACGACTGGCACCCTGTGGAGTATTTCAGCCACAAAGTGCCTCCCATCAACTCGCTTGATGATGCAAGGAAGAAGGAACTGCTCGCATTCGTCATGGCTCTCAAGCGATGGCGGCACTTCCTCCTTGGGCGTCGTAGGTTCACATGGGTTACGGACAACAATCCATTGACCTATAAGACGCAGGATACGGTGAGCAGCATGATCGGACGATGGATGTACTTCATCGACCAGTTTGACTTCACACCGAAACATCTTCCCGGCCTCTCAAATCGCGCGGCAGATGCACTCTCGTGAAGACCTGATTTTTGCGCTATGACACATCATGCCTTCGCATTCGACGAGGAGCTTCAGCAACACTTCATCTGAGCATATGAGTCTGATCCGGACTTTGCCACGCTATATGCACAACTATCTTCGGATCACCCGCTGGCCAGCCACTATCGCATTGTGGACGGGTACTTGCTCCTCCACTCGAGAGGCAACGACTTATTGTGTGTCCCACGAGACCATCGTCTTCGGACTCGCCTTCTCGGAGAGTTCCATGACTCGCCACTCGCCGGCCATTTCGGAGTCAACCGCACTTTTGCACGGCTTCGACAACGATTCCGATGGCCCGACCTCATTACCAATGTCACTCGGTATTGCGACTCTTGCGAAGTTTGCCGACGCAGCAAACCCTGCAACCGCAATCCCTATGGCGAGCTACGCCCGATGCCTATCGCATGAGAACCCGGTCTCTCCATTGCCATGGACGTCACCAGTCCATTCCCTCGCGACCGGCTCGGGCACGACGCCATCCTCACGGTTGTGGACCGATTGAGTAAGTAGGCGCATTTTCTTCCCTGCAAGTACTACTCCACGGCTCCCGAGTTCGCACGCCTCCTGCACACCGGTTGGATTTGTGGCCACGGTGTACCAGAAGACATAGTCAGCGACCGCGACACTCGCTTCATGTCGGTATTTTGGACTGCTCTCATGCAGGAGTTCGGCACGAAGATGAAGACAAGTTCGGCTCGGCATCCACAGACAGACGGGCAAACGGAGCGGGCACATCAAACCGCTCAAATGATGCTTCGTACGCTCATCCGTCTGGACCAGAAAGATTGGGTTGACCGCCTCCCTGACATCAAGTTCGCCTACAATACTTCGGCGCACCCGGCGATCGGCGTTACTCCATTCGAGTTGCACCACGGTGGACGGAAAGGCCGTATCGTCGCCGACCTTCTCCTCCCTCGACCAGTCGACATTGACGCCGCTTGCTCTCCTGCTTTCGTCCGGTAGTACAGGGAATTGCTGACTCAAGCCCGCGCGAACATGCAAAAAGCTCAAGTCCACATGCAGCAACAAGCCAACAGGCCATGTCCCATCCGCGCCGGTGATCTGGTTTGGGTCTCCGCAGAAGAGTTTGCACTGGAACAGGATGTTTCACGCAAACTGCTTCCCAAGTGGTTTGAACCTTGGTCTGTGACAGCAGCCGCGGGCGATGAGCATGATGGCCCTTCATTTGTGATCAACATTCCCGAGCATCTGACGGTCCATCCAGTCTTTCACGCCTCGAAGTTGGCAACATATACACCAGCTAAGAGCGACGACTTCCCGGGCCGATGATCGCAAGACCCTCCTTCTATGGATGGTCATCAGGAAGTTGACTGCGTCATCACGGATTGCAAGTAAGGCAGCAAGCCGCGCCAGTACAAAGTTACATTCAGAGCATGCGATCCCGACAATACTCGGTGAATTTCAGGAGCAGATTTGAAAGCATCCGCACCGCTGCTCTACGCTCACTACGAGCGACAAAGGTTAGCTAGGGGACCTCCGCAACCTGCTTCTCCCACCCGGACTATGGTCCCTCCCTCATACAGACAGCTTCGCCCTCGCAGGTAAGCTCGGTCTTTCAAGGAGAGGGGGGTGTGGCATACTGCGTAGCCACACGGGCCCTGCAGGGCCCGTCTCACACTTTCAGCATAAAAGCCTAAAACTTAGGGCTTACAGGCCCTGGTCGTTTCAGCTTGAAAGCTGAAAAACGAGGGCCTGCAGGCCCTACTCCGTTTTCAGCCTATTTCTGGGCCTTTCAGGCCAAGAGGCTTTCCAGCCTGATACGGAGGGTCATTTTCAGGCCCTCATTTGTTTCGACCTGCCCTAAGACTCAGACACGAAAGCTGGGTTTCGGAACCCGCTATTTCTGGCCTGTTCCCCACGCCAGCTCGAGCAGGAGCTGCAGCTGCAGCCCCTGCCTTCCTTCGCATTGGCAAGAGCAGCCTCCTCGACTGCTGGCCCGAGTCAGGAGGCACACCCGGTAGTACATAGGAAGTTCCCATGCATTTCACGGGTAGGTAGTTGTCAGTAGGCATGAGTAGTCTTCAGGATTTGGCCGCAACACTCAGGAGGAGCGCTGCAGTAGTCTTCAGCGCTAGGCAGTAGTATTAGCGCTAGTAGTAGTCTTCGGCGCTGGGCACCCATAGCCATAGTTGTAGTTTTCAGCGCTGGGCGCTATTAGGTGGTAGATCGTAGAGTTGGGAGAGATGGTTGGCGGAGGCCAGCGGTACTTACCTGTGGCGCCATAGCTCCAGCTCCATCTTCGAGGTACCTGCATCAAGGCGCCAACTTCAAAGGTTAGTACAAGACACAGAGAGAGAGAGAGAGAGAGACAGAGAGTTCTTCTTCTTCCTCGTTTAAGTCCACCATCTCTTCTCACCCTCTCGCCACCTGACTTCTCAGACCACGACAGAGAGAGAAAGAGTTGTGACTTGGGACTTGACGACATTGGATCCAGACTTGACATTTGGGATTCAGACATTTCGACAAGGGACTATTTGGGCCTGTGCCGAAGACTTGGTGTTGACGACATTCCCATCTTCCCCTCCTCTTCGTCTAACCCCTCCTTCGTATGTGTATGGTTGGGGCTGGCGCAATCTTCCTGTGTGAAGCGCCATACCCCCTTCACACAAGATAACGATGATGATGATGTATGTTCAGGGCTGCATTGCAATATTGATTGTTCGGATCATTGGTATCTAAGTCTTCCGCTGTGTTATCTTGTACTTTGTATTGAGAGGTCGGTTCTTGTTTTGGTCTGCACGTTACAGTATGCAACAGTTTGGTATCGGAGCGGACCTCTCATTCAGAGGACCCGCTCAATCAAGTAGCCTGCTTGTTGATCTATTGATCACTCATTACTAACGCACGTAGGACGTCGTCAAATCTCTGATTTTTTTTTTTTTTTTCTCGCAACAACTATCTGAAAATTATGATATTCGCATTTTCGTTTTACCTGAAAAATTCTGATATTAGTAGTTCGTTTTTACGTAACAAATATCTGAAAATTTCTGATAAATCGCACTTCGTTTTGTCTGAAAAATTCTGATAGTAGCTTTTCGTCTGATATTTCACACACATGGCTGAAATTTCTGAAGTTAGTATTTCGTTCTCTAGGCATATTGGGATAACGATAGAAGTGGTCATATTCTCGGAAAGTGGAATTATTCTTTTCTGAAAATCGAATTTCCATTCTATCTCGCAAATTTTTTTTTGAAAACCGAAATGTTGCGAAGCCTACCAATATTGTGTTAGGCATATTCGGAGGTTGCCATATTCTCAGAAACTGGATTTCGTTCTTTTCTTAAGATCGCATCTTTACTCTATTTCGCAATATTTTTTTCAAGATCGCAGATTGTAAAAGCCGAAACTTTGCGGAACCTAGCCTAGATCTCGTTCATAGTACTCTTCTGATATGTCCTACTCATAATAGATCGAAAAAAAAAAAAAAAAAAAAAAAGGAAGTAGTCCTCTTTATTTTTTATTTATTTTTTTGATTTTATCTGTTGATTAGGGCCGAAGGAAAGTATTGTTGGGCTGGTTTCCTACCTGCGTTTTCCCTCCCACCCACCCCTTTGCATGCATTTCCGAGTTGGTACATGACACGTCAGCAACAGTGACACGTCAGCAGGCCACGTCAACAGTGACATTTCCGAGTTCCTATATGTACGCATTCAGATCGGAGAGGCGACCTGCAACGCTTTGATTGATTGCGGGGTATCTCGCAACTACATGAGTCAGGAATTCATGGTACGCGCCGGCCTTGGCCCACGAGTCCGAAGGAAGTCCCAGCCCACGCAAGTGACATTGGCGGACGATCACACACACAAGTCAATCGACCGGTGCATTGACGACGTCCCAATGTACTTTGCCCCTCACGCAAGTGAGGCGGTGTCCTTTGACATTCTGGACACCAAATT